TTGTGGGTGTAAGTGTTTTTTTGTTTGTGTGTTTGTCTAATCAAAATACATAGAATTTGAAAGTAATAAGACAGAAAGCCAAGAATAAAAAAGTCCCCCAGCCAAGCCTGGGGTGCACTGTCTATTTGTATCACTCACTACTGCACCCCTGACAGGGTTACCAGGGAGGGAATATGTATCCACCTCCCCAGAAGCCTGGTGCTGCTCCCAGTCCTGGTCCCACTGGCCCCAACCCCCCAGCTGGATATAGTACGGGTCCGCGCAGACACCCCGACTTCGAAAAGACACCAGGTGAGAAGATAGTGGTGGTTTAGCATGGTGTAATGAGAGCTGGATTTCAGTTTTGCTGTTAATCTATCTCTCTTTCTTACTTTCGTTCTCTCACTCTCATTCTTTCTCTTTCTCTCCCTCACTCACAATCTTTCTTCTCTCTCTCTCTCTCTCTCTCTCTCTCTCTCTCTCTCTCTCTCTCTCTCTCTCTCTCTCTCTCTCTCTCTCTCTCTCTCTCTCTCTTTCAATCTTTCTCTCACTCGCACACACATACACACTTTTTGTTGTTGTTGTTGTTGTTGATAATGAATTTTTTATTGAAATAGAACTACCATTATTAAATAGACAAGCAAGAATGAAAGCCTCCTCTCCTGGCCCTATAGGTTTCTCTCTCTCTCTCTCTCTCTCTCTCTCTCTCTCTCTCTCTCTCTCTCTCTCTCTCTCTCTCTCTCTCTCTCTCTCTCTCTCTCTCTCTCTCTCATTAGTCACTCATTTATCATAATCAGATAGAACTGTACTAAGACTTTTTTCCCTCCCCTCCCTCTCTCCAATGCCACCTCTCCCGAGCAGGATGGCGTGGGAACAGCCAGTATGGAGGTTACACCGGCCAGAACCAGCAGGGTCCCCCTCAGCAGGCGTGGAGTCGCCCCAACGACTCTGCGCCGCCTGGAGCTCCAACTTCTCAATGGAGTCAGCCGCGGTTTCCTGGGCCACAAGGGCAGTTCCAGAATGCTGTTAGTGCTGTAAGTTTGGTTTCAATGCAGGTAGATTTCAGAGAAAGTAGTCTGCACATAATGGAGATGATGAATTTGAGGGTTTGATTATCAGTGATTTTCATATCTTCACAGTTTGATTACAATAGCACAACACAAGTGCATGTTCTAGCTAGTGTTAATCTTTCCCTACTGACTGCAAAGGCCTTAATCCATCATTTTTTTTAGGGACGAGGGTGGTCAGGTGGATCCTACACTCAAAATGTGGGGCCCAGACCTCAGGGCCCTCCCACCAATAAGAACTATCTAGTTCCTCCACCCTCTTCATTTAAGGTAAGTTATTTTTCTCTCCATTTTTATGTAGTGTTACTATCTCTTTTATGGAGATTATCATGTTATGAATTGGGTTATTTTGATGGTGAAAGTAAAACTTATTTGATCCCAGATTTGCCATTTCTTATTTGGCATCTAGGTGTTTCAATTTCCCAATGAACTTAGAGGAATGAATGTTCTACTTTTCCAAAGGAAACTAATTTTGACCATTTATTTCTGTTCATTCAGTGTGGGGGCAGCATGTATGGTGTTTACACTGGCAAACATCAATTCCCCCTTGATAGTGTTGAGGCGGTGCTGCCGGTGCTGGCACGAAGGAAGCGCATGACCCGCTCTGACCTTCCTACTCTTGACCCCTGGAGGCTACTCATGTCTTTGCGGTGAGCAATAAACTTTTATCTCTCATTTCTTTTGTTATTATTTTTACCGATACTACTGTTGTATGCATTTTTATATGAAATTCTCCTTGCTTTTCTCTTTATTATTATTTTTGTGATCACTCAGAATTAAAGCAATGGTTTTCAAACATTTTTTGTGTAATTACAGGTGTGGTCTGGCTGCGGAAGTGACCTGGGCCTTAGATGTCTTGAACATTCTCCTGTTTGATGACCAAACGGTAGTTTACTTTGGCTTACACCACATGCCAGGACTCCTAGAGGCCCTCATTGAACACCTCAGAAGGGGCCTTATCAACATGTTTGACATCTGCTCAGAACTGGAGCTTGGCAGTGATGAGAAGGCCACGGGAGCTAACAAAAGGGTCAAGGTGAATTGCATTTTGAGTTTTTTCTGTGCTTTGTTCTTGATATGTAATATTTCATATGATAAAACCATGTATACATATAAATATGTGCATGCACACACACACACACACACACACACACACACACACACACACACACACACACACACACACACACACACACACACACACACACACACACACACACATTGTGTATGTATGTATGTATTTATATTTATCTTATCAGTCACTCAGTTCTGCAAAGTTTGCAAGTGTTGAAAACCATGAATTGTCCACAGGCAATGCAGCATGATGACTCAGACAGACCCTGGTACTTGCGGCCGCCACCATCGCCCACCCTCGAGCTAGACCTGGGCAAGTTAGAGGATCATGACCTGCAGAACAAGGAGGAGATCTTAAAGGGGGCGGAGGATTTCACTTTAATCACCAAGACGGGCAAGACGGTTAAATTCGTGAAGCGGGATGGTGAGCTGTTCATGCGTGAAGGCAGCCGGGAGTGGGACAAGTGGGAGGGCTTCAGCTCAGGTGTAGACACCTGGTCGGTGGGTGGAGGTGAGTGCACCGCCCACATTATCTGCAGCATGCAGAGCTCGGTGCCTCCCCTGCCCTTCACTCGCCTCATGCCCTGCAAGGATGGCAGGATCGAGGAGATGTCCCTCAAGAAAGAGAAGCTGATAGAGGTCAAGGAGGAGGTGGAAATTAAGAAGGAAGTGATAGTGGAAGTGAAAAAAGAGGAAAAGAGTAAGAAGGAGAAAGTGGTGGATGTGTTGGCAGAGTTAAAGGAAAAGAAGGTGGAGAAGATGGAGGACCTTATTTCTAGAGAAAAGTGTGACAACTCCAAAGATACTGAGTCAACAGACAAACTTTTCAGTCAAAGGATAAATAGAGTTAATAATGCAAGGAAGAGCAAACTAGACGAAATATTTAAGAAGTTAAAGAAGGAACCAATGGAGGACCATAGTGACAATAAGAAAAGGGAGACAAAAGAAGTGTGTGTTTTGAAAAAGGACAATGAAGTGCATGTAGACAGTAGTGTTGTGGTGAAACAGGAACCAAGTAGTGATAAGTTAACTGAGAGAAAACAAGAGGAAGTATCTCAAAATAAGCCAGAATCTAAAGAAAAATTAGAAAGGCGTGAAAGCAGTGGCTCCAAGAGGGAAAGTGGTGGATTCAAAAGACCTCATGAGGATCTAGAGGAGGAATCGTGGAGTCCAGATGAAGCATCGTTAAGCACAACTACTGAGGGTCAGGACTGGTTAGGTCGACGTGTCATGTGCGTGGGTACTGTGATCCGGAATCTGTCCTTTATTCCAGGAAATGAAGAGGTGATGAGCAAATGCGCATCTCTGCTAGCCTTACTTGGCAAGACAATCCTGCTGCACCATGAGCACCCCAAACGCACCCCTTCCACGGCGCATTATGACCGTGACGAGGAGGCGGACCTGAGCGACTGGTGCAGCTCCCTGGCTCCGGACACACACTGGTGGTGGCCCTACCTCCACCATGTGCATGAGAACACGCTGGTCACCCTGGCCAACATGGCAGGCTCTCTCGATTTGTCTATTTACCCAGAAGAGATCTCACGGCCCTTGTTAAATGGCCTCCTACACTGGGCCACCTGTTCTGCCTCGTATGGTCAGGATCCCTTCCCAGGTGGTGGAACATCTCTTCAGTCTGCGTTGTCACCTCAGCGTCTCGCCCTGGAGGCCCTTGTTAAGCTCTGTGTGCTGGACCAGAACACAGACTTAGTTCTAGCAACACCACCTTTCACACGGTTAGACAGCCTGTGCGGCCAGCTGACCCGCTTTATGTGCCGTGGGGAGGACCAGGTCTTACGTGAGTTCTCCATCAACCTCCTCCACTATTTCTCAGCTGCAGACTCGGGTGTGGCTAGAGTCATAGCCATGCAGAATGGGTGTGTCTCTCTCCTGGTGGCTTTCATCGAGGAGGCAGAGGCTGCGGCGATGAATGTGGCTAATGTGCAGGGTGTGAGTGCCCTCAAGGAAAATCCTGAGCTGATGGGGACGAGCCTGGACATGGTGCGGCGGGCTGCTAACACACTGGTGCACCTCTCGCGAGTGCCAGCCAATGCTCGGGTTTTAGCTAATTGTGAAAACAGACTATTGACATTGGTCATGAGCCAGATACTTGATACCTATGTTGCATCTCAGTTGTCACAGGTGTTATTTAATGTAGCCCAAGTGCAAAATGAATTTCCCCAATTATCACCTTGCCCTTCACCACCATCATCACCCCCACCAACTACAGCACAAGCCTCAGAGTTAACCAAAACTCCAGATGCACCAATGGATGTGGACTCACCACCATTAGATGCACCCAGCCAACCCACTTCTATATCCACAGCCGTAAAACTGGTCAATCATGACATTTTGACTGAGTATGATAAGACCAATGCTGCTTCCCCCAGTCCTGCTTCTGCTCCTTCTCCTAACCCTATTTCAGCCCCTAATGCCACACCTGTGCCCACCCCAGCCCCTGCCCCTGTCCCAGCTGCTACTCCATCTCCAGTTCCTGTCTCTGCCTCTACCCCATCAACTCCAGCCTCTGGCTCAGTTGCAACACCTGCTACAGCCTCTGCTCCTGCCCCTGCCCTTGCCCCTACCACAGCCCCACTGCCCCTGCCCCTGCCCCTGCTACTCCTGCACCTGCCTCTGCCCCAGCCCCAGCCCCTGTTCCTGCGGTGACCCCTGCAATTGCTCCTAGCCCCACTCCAACCCCAGCTGTTTCCCTCGCTCCTGCCCCCACCCACACCCCAGCCTCAGCTCCATTCTCACCTCTTCCGTCAGCGCCTGCTGCGACTCCTGCACCAGTACCTACAGCTGTACCAAGTCTAGGTAAAGTCCCAACTCCTAATTTAACCCCTCCCCCTATCTCTGCAAACAGCCCTGTATTTAACCCACAAAAAATGCCCATGAAGCCCAGCAATCCCCCCACCCAAACCACAAACTCCGAGTCATCTACAAAGTGCGAGTCCCTGGCAGCGGCGACAGCCCCGGTCCCCATGGAAGCGTCAGCAGCAAGTCCCTCATCTTAGTAGCGGGTGGGTGAACCCAGTGAGCGTGTAGGCCTCTCTCAGCCATGTGTGGTACAAACTGTGTGGTGGGGGTGACACTATGCCCCCTAGGGTCCCCCCCGGTCCCAGGGCCCCCCCTAGTGTCTCAGCAGGGCCCTTGCAAGGACCACCTCAGTGATATTGAGTCCTACCAGGCATTAGGGCTCTCAGTGTTGTGTACAGTAACTAAAATAAGATGTGTGTCCTGCTGTAAGCAGTGTCTGTGAATTATTCTAAAGTGCGAGTGTAGCCAGCAACAAGTCTGTGAAAGTCTGTGTATTTGTACTTTTCAATGTACAGAAGTCTGTACTCATCTCAGCTGTATTTCTTGGATTTAAAGAAAGTTGTAGAAAGAAAGTATTCAGAGAAACAGTGTTTCTTTAACCTTGTTCTTGAATATGCATTTTTGTTCTATCAGTTCTGGTATGACACTTGTAAATCCAGATTTAAGATTCCTTTCATTTGTTTATAAGATGGAGTTGATGCCAAACATTTTTGTCTAAAATTGTAAGGTTTTGGTTGGCAGTTCTAGATTTGCCATTGGCTTTTTGATTTTACTTAACAAAAAAATGTTGATCTGAAAGGAGTACAGTATTATTCACATGAACATGACTTTCACTCTGTTTTATTCTATTTAAAGAAGGAACTTAGAAGGCTGTATAAAAAAAAACAGTGTATGTCATTGTATATAGTCAAATAGTTTGAAAAAGAGATACTTCAGGAGAGGTCATTCCTTGTTTATATAAATTTTCCAGTCTTGGAAAATTATAAAAAAGAAAATACTGATCTAATATCTGGGATTCAAGATGACTGAATCCCTCACCACCACCAAAATCAGAAAATCAAATCAATTTATGTTGTTTTGAAGTACTGGTGAGAGGAACAAAAAAGTTACTGAAGTTTTTAGACAATATTTTCCTCAAGTTTAAACAAATTGTAATTGTTTTTTTATTTAATAAAGATGAAAACGAAACTTACCTAGCTCTTTATTGGCAAATGAATTTTATGTGAATACCATTATGTAAACAGATTTAAATTCGACTTCTATATCTTCGTTTCTACTTATGAATTGATTCTGCGTTTTCTCTGCAGGGCAAACCAGGAACTTGCTTCCCGAGATTACTTTGTATCTTTACAGATACAGGTTTGAATACAAGAGAAATGCTGATTGTGTGATTAGAGAAGATACTATGACTAGCAAATGTGCTAAAATTAGAGGTTTGAGAAGGATTTTTCTTCATTAAATTTGTGATTGGGGTATGAGCAGACGGGAGTCCCCCTCACTTCTCCTCTTCTCTTCTCTCTGATTCTACCCTCTCTCCCACTCAGCATCCTTCCCTTTCCATCTTCTAATTGTAAAGTAAGAGGAAAATGTAGTTGAGTAACGTAGACTGCGAATAAGCCTGGGCACCCAGTCTCGTGGAGAAAAGATGAGAGCGAAAGTGAATTCTCCATAACGTAAGTGATGTAATTGACGAGTTTCGGTTATTTTCATAAGCCTTGCGTCCCCTAAATCCCGTTGTCATGGCAGGGGGTCTAGGAAACGGAGACTGGGAACCAGTGCTAAGGATCTCCCCAACCTCAGCCCTCGCCTCGACTAATTCTGCATGGTTTTTCCCCTTTCCGTTTCCTTCTCTAATCCCTGTTACTATCGTTTTCCCAAAGCGTGTGTGAATCATGATGAATGAATGAAAGGCTGACTTTGTGCCAGTCATTGAACGGCCTGAGGGAGCCATTGGCCATTCCCGTTTAATCGCCTATGTCTTACCCCCCACCCCCATCCCAGAATCTAAGGTCCAATGTAGGGAAAAGGGTCTGAAGTCCTTGCCACCACTAATTTCGCATGGTCGTTTTTTCTCCTTTTCTTTTACTCTTCATCCCCTTCTGTCCACATCCTAAAGTGTGACAGGCGTGCTGAGAGGATTAAACGCTGGCTTTGTGTCTTGAATAGCCTTCGTACTTCGTCTGCTATTCCCTCTACCATTTTCACAGCCATACTAACCTACAGCGCTTTCTACAGAATTTATTTTATCCTTATTGTTCATTTTTCCCTCCGCCATAATACGTTGTCATAATGCTGCATGACTTTTCCTTACCTGGATTCTTCGCCCCAAGCCTCGCCCTATTGCTGCATTTCATATACGCCGCTAATGACCTTGTTTGCTAACGTGGTAGAATTTTTTTTCAATAAATAAATACATATCCCTTATCCTCCCCGGGGACCCTAAGGAGTGAACTACTGCTTTCCCCATCATACTCCAGGCTTACCGTGACCATTAATGAAGATTTTGTCCCCCTATTAGGGGCAACGAGGCTTGCCCCTCTATCAAATAGCCCCACTGACTTTTATTCTCTTGTTAGCCTGACCTCAGGCTTTCCTTTGACCACGACTCTGAACTCTGCTACTTCTACTCCCTCCTCAACGCCGACCATCACCTCCGTCCAGTCCAGATGATGCATCCAGGTCATTTACTCAACCTCCAGAAAACATTCTTCCTCCTCCAAACATCTTAATTTCCTCCACCCCCACAGCTTTCTTCATCTACTACCACCACCTCCGTTATTACAACTGTAGCCATCTCTCCGCAGTACTACCTCTCTCAACACTAATCTCACCTGCACACACCCCAGTCCTTCTACTAATCGGGGCGATTTTTCGTGATCCCCTCCACGGCCCCTTACTCTGACAACTCTCTCCTCTTCCAGCAATGTCTCCAAAAGTTTCCTTCCAGCCTTGTCACAATTGTATCCGAATCCCAAGTTAAAGCATTATCAACCCTGACTGACCACTTGCAAACCAATTCCTGCCTAGCCTCATCCCTCCCTCAATACTTGTACCAGAACTGTCTCATCTCCCACGACAAACTGCTCTGTCTACGGCAAGGATTGGTCAGATTGTGGGGAAGACTAACTGGCTTGCCTCGTGGACTGTGATGCAGTATCAGTACAATGTTACACCATTCCCTAAAGAGGCCGTCGTAAGACTCACCAATTTTGCCAAAATTACTTTCCGTAAACCTCCCCTTTATTGTTTATATTGGCGGAGTATCCTTCCCTGTCCACCATATCTACCTCCCCCGGTCGGGCTATGGCGTTCCATAGCCCGATGTCCTCTGCCGAAACAGTTCATAACCAGTAGAACTGCTCTGCACAATCACGCATGTAGGCCAGTTGTGGCAGCTCCCATAATGTATTTCAAAGGGGCTATTCTACCTACAAGTTTGAGTCTGAAGTGGCAACTCTCGGACTTGGCCTCACTATACGTGATGCCGGTCAGGAGGCGCGTCGACGAGATTTTTCTCTTGCTCCCAATTCCAGTAGTGTCGTTTGTTTTGTCCATTTGACCGCCCATGTTCCAAATTGACACCGAAACCCCTCATCCATCCCCCAACTTCACTATTCCCGCATTCCTGATACTTCACCTTCACCCTCTCATCCCTTATTTCGCCCCTAGCTCCTTCCCCTCCAACTTCGACACCCACTGTCGCTGTCACATACTTCGACATGTGCAGGCAATCGTTTTCGTGCCTTGACTTCTCTGTTTTATTCTCGATTTAGACTTCCACTGGTGTTCTAGACCAGTTTCCCTACAGTGACCACTTTCCAGTCCTCCTTTCTCCTACTTCATACATTCCACTTCCTAATCCCCCTCAGAGGTGCTTTGATAAAGCTGATTGTCATACTTTTACTTAACCTCTCAACTATTCCTCTTCCCCTTCTCGTCCATTTTCAGATGTGCTTCAGTGTTGTTGTCCCAAGAGCTGCCTATACAGCTATTCCCTGAACCTTCATGTGTGTCCCATGGTGCGACCCAGATTGCACCAAAGCGCTCCGTTTAAAACGCGCAGCCTGGAACAATTACCGCTACAAACGAGCCACCCCTAGTCAGTTATCAGCACTTATCTCCATAAAAAAAACATCCGCCTGTCTTCGCCGCACAATCTTGAATAGCTGAACAATAGCTGGCGAAATTATCTCTCCTCGATTATATCTATATCTGTTTCAGCTGTCTGACGTCGGATCCAGGCAAACATCTACCTTGTCCTCCATATTCGCGATACTCTCATCTCTGATCCACTCCTATCCGCTAATTTTTCAGCCAGGTTAGGTTCCATTAAAACTACCCGAGAACGCACTTCCATCACATTCTCCCTGTCCTTTGATGAATCCTATAATGCTCCTTTTTCTCCCTCAGTATTTCACGCTGCCTCATGCTGCGGCCACACCGAGCGCGACGCGCGGGAAACTTTGTCCTGTGCTAACCAAAGGGACGCGGCCACACCGCCCTCGCGCGAGAGGGAAGCCGCGATTCCGCGCGCCTTCGCCAGAGGCTGGGCGGGAAGAATGGCGGTTAACTTTACTCGCGCGAAGGACGCGCCGGGATGGGTGTCGAGTCTTATTACCGAGGTTCTTCAGACAACAAACATTAGGAATGAAGATAAAATGCAAGGGGATAGATGAACTGTTACTAAGCAGTGGAAGAGGATTAGGGATAAAATGTCAGTTCCAATTTTGTTTATTTTGATAGACAGCGGTATTAATTGCGATGGCATATCACCTATGTAAAATTGCTTCTTTACTAGTTAATATCTTTAGTATTTATGGATGTGGTTACCTCGTGATTGATTACATCATAAATATTTGTCTATAATAAAAAAAAAGTTATGAGAGCATCGTAAATTTCTCAATAATTGATTATATCTTATCATGAATAATTATTCTTACAGTCATGAACGATCATATTCATATTTATATAGGGTAGTATATTCATATATATATCGTAAATGAAAATAATTATATGTTTCTTGGATGATTATATTTACGTTCTTCATGGATAATCATGTATTT